TTATTTATTTATTTGTTTGTTTGTTTATTTGTTTGTTTATTTATTTATTTTATTTGTTTGTTTGTTTGTTTGTTTGTTTATTTATTTATACATACCCCGCCCATCTGGTCTAAAAGACCACTCTAGGCGGCTTCCAATATAGTAAAAAGAGTGAAATAATACAAAAAACAAAAAACAAAAAAATTACATAAATCATATTGTAATAAACAATAGAACAGAAAATACATAAGGAGAGAATAAACAGAAAAGTCAGATATTAACTGGAGGGAAGGCCTGAATGTATAGCCATGTTTTTAATTGACTTTTAAAAGTGCCCAAAGTGGAGGCCATGCGGATCTCAGGAGGGAGATTGTTCCAGAGGCGAGGAGCCACCGCCAAGAAGGCCCAGTTTTCGTGTCTTTTCCTTCCAGGCCTCTCTCGGCGTCAGGCTTCTCAGCCTCACCTCCTGGCTCGCACAGGTGATACAGGTAGATCTTGGTGGGAGTAGGCGTTCCACCAAATATCGAGGTCCTAAACCGTTTAGGGCCTTATAAGTAAGCATTAGAATTTTAAAGTCAACGCGGAAACGAATGGGCAGCCAATGCAGCATGGCCAGCGTAGGAGAAATATACTGGAATTTTCTCATTCCACTAAGGAGTCTGGCCACTGCATTCTGCACCACTTGAAGTTTCTGCATCAGCCTATCATATTACAAAGTTTTGATCTGCCTTATAAATGAAGCTATTTTAGCTGATTTAGTAGGCAGTTGTGCCCCAAATCTACCTTATGGCAATCCTCTGTCCAGTGCCTCTACTACTTCCCTGAGATGCTGGCACATATACCCAGCTGTCTTGTTACCATAGGATACTGCACACAGGCAGTATCATAATGGCACACAATGCTCAAGCCTGGGCTGCTGATAAGACATCTGAAGAATAAAGTATAAGGTGAATTTGGGGCTTTGCTGGTGTGTGTGTGTGTGTGTGTGGGCCTGGTTTTGAATCCTTACTTAGCTATGGGAAGTCACGTGTGTGTGTGTGTTTGTGTGTGTGCACATGCACGTGTGTGTGTGTGTGTGACCATTGTTTAGATGATGGAAGGGCAACTCAGTGTTTGATGTCCTTCCTTTTTAAGAAGATAGTTTTATGAACTTTTAAACATGATTTCTAAAGAGTATGGAAATGTCAACCCTAACACATGCCCGGTTTATCAGAAGAAATGTTAGAAGTACAATTAATAGTGCCATTATTGTTCTTTAAATACTATGGCATAACAGTTATCTATGCAGATATTGTTATATGGTCCTTAACTGTGCAATATCTTCCCAACAATGTAGAAGGATGTTCAGAAATGGACTCTTCCCACCAAGACATGGAACTCACCAGTGAGGGCTCTCTTTCCATTGATACTCCTAAAGCTGAGGTTTTGACCCACAATAATCTGGTGAGTGTACACTGTATGTCTATGTGACCACTGAACCAATTTCATAACAGCTCATATAACAACAGGTCTTTTAAATTATTTCGTTGCTATCTAATAAACAGCGAGCTCTGTGGTTGGATTGCTATTACATCTCAGAATGCTGTAGATTTGGAGTAGTGTCCGTCAGTAAGGAAGCACTGAGCAGCGATGCACCCACCATCCCTCTCCCAGCTGCAGCTTCTTCCTTAAACAATTTCAGTTTTGTAACTGTAGAAGTCAGCAGGACTCCTTACAAAGGTTAACCAGAGCACACTATTTTCATGAAACCTATGGACATTAGGTCTTCCCCTATGGAGAGGTGCTATGGGGAAAAGAGTGACCCATTTGCCCCAATCCTTAGTGACCAACATCACAAATGACAGGATCCAGATAAAAGATTGACAGGCCTTGTAAATGGATTACAGTGGTGCCTCGTTTAACGATTGCATTGTTAAACGACAAAACCGGTATACGATGACTGTTTTGCAATTGCAAAACAATGTTTTAATAGGCAAAATCTGCTTTGCGACAATCAGTTCCCTGCTTCGGAAACCGATTCTTCACATTACGTTTTTAAAACAGCTGATCGGCGGCTTGAAAATGGCCGCCCGCTGTGTAAAATGGCTCCCCACTGTGTTTTTGGACGGATTCCTCGCACCGAAAACGGCCACCCCCATGGAGGATTTTCACTGGACGGTGAGTTTTTCAGCCCATTGCAATGCACTGAACGGGGTTTCAATGCATTTCAATGGGATTTTTTATTTCGCTTAACGAGGATTTTGCTTTACAGCGATTTCGCTGGAACGGATTATCCTTGTTAAGCGAAGCACCACTGTATTATGGAATCCATTCATTAGTCAGACACTTGGAATAGGAACAAGTGCTTTCACTCTGTGACCAATAATTGCATTTTGACCCAGGCCAGCTACTGCTTTGTTTTCCTTCTTTTTAAAATCCTCCTTGAAATATTCCTGATGCTGCACCAACTTCAACCTGGTGAGGAAGGGAAGATCCATGGATTTTCTTTCTTTCTCCACCTACCCTGGAGTTCTGGGATGCTGACAAAGAAAGAGATGCCTTTAGGAACTTGCAACTTGGATCTGGTTTTCTGAAGAAATTATTCTCCACAAACATATTCCCCAAAAATTCAATTACAAGGGAGATTCCAGTATAAATTTGCTAAACTATAATTCACTAAAAATCTTTTTATCTTACCTGTGCAAATATTAAACTTAAGGCTATTCCCTACTTGCTGTTTCAACATTCTGCTCTGACGTCTGAATCCAGGGTGGAATTGTAGTGCCCATCTAAACTAATTAAAATGGTCTCTTTTTTAAAATTTAAAATTTAAATTTGTTTGCAATTTTTATAGATACTTTAGAGCAATGGTTCTTAACCTTGGGTAACCAGCTATGCTGGTTGGGGCTTCTGGGATTTGCAGTCCAAGAACACCTGGATTACCCAAGGTTAAGAACCACTGCAACATTTAGCAAAAGTTGCTTTTTGGTGAGTCAGTTACGTAACAGAATGGATGTAAAGTAGTATATGCATTTGAATATGTGCATGAATAAACATTAAAGTGACCATGAATCTCTGCGTCCATTTCTCTTTTGCAATTGGAAACAGTAGGAGAGGGCAGAAATCTCAAGATCTGTTCTTAATGAACTGTTTAAATGACACCCCCAATTTTTTTCTCCAAAGCCAAATTTGTGATAAAATATGGATCATAATTTATGAGACACATAAGGGGCTCTCTTGGTGTCTAGGGACAGTTAAAGAACATGCAGCAGTACCGTGTGCTATGTCATAAAATTCTCTTGTGGCTAAAATGGACCATGAACCCAGAATCTTTCCATGCGAACTACTGCATATATACAATCCTATTTGAACCAAGAATAAGTGTTTGATTTATTTATTTTAGGGCAAAGAAAATGAAGTTGCTGAGCTTTGCCAAAAGCTATTAAAACTAGAGCAAGAGACTGAACTACTCAGAGATATTAACAGAACTCTACGGGAAGAAAATGTACTTCTGATGGATAAACTGAAAGCATGTGAAGCAGAAACACATCTAAGTACCTGACTCCTCTGCAATTACAATGCAACTCTTTACTTCTGCTTTAATCATGTTTTCCCCTTCTTAAGACTAACAACTTATTTTGGGGGGGCTGTATCTGATAAGTTTTAAGATGTTCACATTTGATTTTGTTGTAGTCTCAGACAAGTTTTGCACTATCATGTACTTATTTAAAAACTGTTCCAAAACTGCTTTGAATCTTTTCTATATCAAGTAGCTGTCTGTTGATACTAATCCTTAAACTTTATTGTTCTAGGCAAAACCTTAAAATCCCCTACAAAACCCCAAGCTACTAAGGTCACTCCATCAACACCAAAAGATACTCAGCCAGCATGCAATTCTAGGACAAGCTGTGATGCTGAATTAGCTAAAGCTCTCAAAGTCTTCTACCAGAATATGAATGTGATCAGAGGACTGTTTTTAAAACTAAAGCACTACAAAGCTCCGGTATGTATTTTAAGTCAATTTTACAAAGTAAAATTTGCAATTTGGAGATCCAGTATGGTGTAGTGCAGGGGTCCCCAACCCCCGGACCACAGCCCAGTGCCAGTCCATGGGCTTCCTTGAACTGGGCCGCAGACACAGATCTCGGCCCCCACCGCACACAGGGGTGTGTGTTGTGCCTGCAGAGGGGTGTCACGCTTGCGGAGGGGCGTGTCATGCTCGCAGGTGGGCATGTCGCACCTGTAAGCGTGACACACCAACCCGTGAGCGCGGGGGTGCCCCTGTCCCCCTGGGCACAGAGCCTGCACTCCCCAACTGGTCCGCGGTCTGAAAAAGGTTCAAGCAGAACGAGCCGAGGAGCTGCGAAATCCTCATGTTCGCCTTTGGAGCTCACGTATGAACTGGTTTATTTTCTTTCACGGGTTCTTTTTTTGTTTTTGTTCCGTCGAGCCGCAGTAGCCTCTGGACCTTCCTGCCTGGTTTTGGCCCTTGCCAAGCAAAAGTGATTCTGCAGCCTGGAGCGAGCGAGCCCACCACTAGCCAGCCCGCGAACTCCCTCACCCGTCACTGCAATCATGCTGGGGCTGAGAGCGCGTGCACCACTCTTTCAAACAATCCCTGGATGGCACGCACTCCCCTTGCTTTGCAGAGGAAAGGACGGCGAGAGAGCGTGAGGGAAGGAGGGTGACACACTCTCTCTCTCAGTCCAGCAGCAGCAAGAGGAGGAGGAAGAGGGGGAGGGATAGCTTTGGAGAAGCAAGGCAATGAAAGAGTCAAAGAGGGAGCCCAAAAAAGTTTGCCTCAAGAAGAAAGAGGCAGTTCTGACAGCAGGCGAGGCGGCCAGAGTTGGCATTGCCAAAAGAAACAGAGGCCCCTCTCCAGGAGAACCACCTCCACCACAGGACCCCAGCAGGCTCTTTTGAATTTTTCCTTTCTGACTCCTCAGGGGCTCAGAAGACCAGCTTCTCTTGTTTGTATGTTTGCACCCGTGTCCACGTAAGAGTGAGGAGGGGCAAAAAAATCCCAGGAACTTGCCTGAAAGGGAGTGACAAGGTCACCTGCAAGCAACAGACGCTGCCCTCAAATCCAGTGTGGGGTCTTTTTATTTAAAGACTGAGCTGGGAAGACTGGCAGGGGACCTCTGAAAGTGGCAAAGCGCTGGATCCGGGGGGGGGCCTCCGTGGCAAAGCACTGCTTTCAGAAGCCTCCCGGGGCTTGCCCAGCACGTAAAAAGGCAGGGGGAAAGCACCATTTTTGAATTTCCTACTTTTTCCCCCTGCCTTTTTCCGTGCTAGACAAGCCTTGGGAAGCCTCTTAGACCCAGCGCCGATCAGCTGAGAGGCGGGGAAATGAGGGGAAGAAGCGGAGATGACCACAAAATGGCTGCCGCCTCCCTGCTGGTTGCCAATTCTCAGCTGTTTGGCGCTCTTTTTCTGGCTGTTCCGGGGCTACAAAGGTACTTTGAGGAGGGGGGCTCAGTCTACTGTACCTGGTAAGTGACTTTTTGCTGACTTTCCCCCCCATAGGAATGCATTAATTAAATTTCAATGCATTCCTATGGGAAAACACGCTTTGCAAGACTAAATGTTCGCTAGACGGCATTAACCACGGAATTCATTAATTTTGTCTTGTGAGGCACCACTGTATCTTGAAGTGGTTTGCTTAATAAATCATTTCATGATACAGTGGTGCCTCGCATAGCGATGTTGATCGGTGCAGCAAAAATCGCTGCTAAGCAATTTTGTCGCTATGCGATTTCAAAAAGCCCATAGGAATGCATTGAAACCCCTTCAATGCGTTCCTATGGGCTTAAAACTGACCTTTAAGCGAAGATCCTCCATACGGTGGCCATTTTTGCTGCCCGGTAAGCGAGGAATCCTTCCCTAAACACAGCGGGCAGCCATTTTTTTACCCGGCGGCCATTTTGGAACCGCCAATCAGCTGTTAAAAAAAATCTTCATTATGCAATGATCGGTAAGCGAAACAGGGAACCAATCATCACAAAGCGAAAAAACCCCATTCAGACCATTGCAAAGTGATTGCAAAATCTTCATCGTTATGCGATTTCGACGTTAAACGGGGCACCCGTTAAGCGAGGCACCACTGTACTGGAAACTGACAGCAGCAGAAGCCTTGGCATTCTGATAGCTGCAAGGCTCAATTTTAATCCATTCCCAGAGATCACATGCACTGGAAACAGACTAACCTAGAGCGTACCAACCCACACCAAAAAAGTAAATGCCCTTGACGGGGGATCAGAAAGAGGCAGGTTGGGGTGCTCTGGGGATAAACTGGTCCATTTTAGTGACTACATTGTGTAGTTACTGGAAAAAGCATGAACTAATCTGTCCCCACAATGTACCAAATAGTGAGACAAATGTCCATCTGAACAAGCCGCAATAGGAGATGGAAATACACCATGAAGTGGCATTAGTAAAACTACTCCTTAAACATCTCATATTCCTTGAAAATCTTGCTAAGGTAGGCGTAAGACAGAGGTGACTTGATGGCATATAAAAACACCAATGAATTTGATTCTGCCTTTGGCTTAAAAATGAAGACTGCTTTTCTCTTATTGCTGCTAGCTGTGAACTATACACAATGAATCTGAAGATTCTTCATGAGATTTTAAATTTCCTAATCTTTTTGATTTACTTTTATTCAAGTTCTACTGCTCTAATAATGTCCATGTGTCTCATACACATACAAAATAAAGAACCCACATACAAAATAGATGTCTAATATCTATTGTTTACAAGGTGTATACACAATTACAGATTGGTTTCTACAGTAAGGAAACATGTGGAGCCCACATAGGGTGAGAGGACCATGCTAGCCTTGTCCTGTCCATTGTCATGCTACATACAGAAAATCAACTGTCTGAAGAGGTGAGGGTAGCCACTCCATGCGAGCCAACTCCTGCTCCAAACTGGGGGTTTGGCTCACCCGGAGATACTACTCATCAGACTGTAGCATTTCTAGCAAGCAACTATTTATCAGTTGAAGACCATATGAATCACATTAGTCTTTCATTTTCACAATACAGCATTAATTGTTTTAAAATTAATTTCTTTTCAGGAGGAAGATAATGTTCAGCTACTTCGACTTTTTGCTGAGAAACAATCAAACATGTTAAAGGATTTTGGAGAACAATTTGAGTCGAGTATAAGTACACTGAAAAATGATGTTGCTTTAATAGTTAAAAAGAAGCGAGAGAGGCTAGGTTACAGCAAGCCATAAAGTTGCTGCATTGCACTGTCACCAAATAAAAATGTAGTGCTTTAGTATACTAATTACAGCTGTGCTTAAGCTTATCTTGTTGTGTACCAACAAACTAGGAAATGATACCCGTATTTACCACTCTGCATACCTAGAATACTCATGCACCAAAAAGTGGTGGCCAGTACTTACTTCACACCATTGACTAGCCACTTCTTTACCACCATCCCTTTTTTATGTTGTTTTGCTTAAGATAATGAATTCAGAATGGATCCAGAACACCTTCCTCTACACACAGTAGCTCATTTATGTTTGCTCTTACTACTCCGTGTGTCTCAGAGTGGTAGGGTGTATGTGTGCGTGCATGAACAGTGGGTATGCAAAATTAAAAACTTGCCTTTGGCATTAGGCACAAGGAGCCTGAAATTCTGCTAATAATTTGGGTTTCACATTTAGAATGACATCTAGTAGTTCATTCTCTCTTCTGTTAATTACTTAAGGTAGACAACTGAAATACAACAGCATAATTTATTCTATGCATACAGTATTATTCTAGATATAATAGCTGGATTTTAATACAGCAATCTGTAGCAATGATACACACACCAAATAAAACTGCCACCCTTTTTTATTATATCAGTAAGGGGGGGGGGGAGAAACAGCAACTAGAAGTCCTTACACGTTAGTACCATTACATTAGAACATCACTGTTTTCCCCTGCATTGGGTTTATGTCCATAATATCAGTTGCTCAGTTATGTTTATTTTGCCACAAGAATTTAAGTTTATAAAGATACTATTAAACAGGACAGACGCCTTCTCCCACTAACATTCTGCAGTGTAGAAAAAACATTGTGGGCCAAATCAGGCTACAGCAAAAAGACTACCAGGCAGTTAAGCATAACTAGTTTCTTTTTCTTGGTATCAAAAAAGGCTTGTTTAACTAAACACACATACAACTGGACAATAACACTTAGCAATCAATGGGGCTTAGTTCCAGTTAAAAATAAACTACAGTCTTAATTACGGCTAGCAAAAGCTGGCCAGAGGCCTATCTGTGAAGAAATATTCAGCAACCTGAATCAAAATTAAAGGGACACTTAGTCAGCCTTCTCCTTCTTCAGGGTATTACTCATTTTCAGAAACAGTTTGTGTCTCTAATATCTGATCTGTTAAGGCATAGATTTTATATTATAATCAACAACAAGTTTCAGAACTCCAAACAAAAAAAATTAGTGCTTCTTTCATAGTTGCTACTTTAAAAATACTTGAACAGATTACAAATTAATATTGATAGAATTTGCTTTCTACTGAAAAGTATGTTTGATGAATTTAACATAAAGCCTTTGTTTCTAAAAAGACACTACAGGTTTAGCAGAATTAATTGATATAGTTATCTTTTCATTAGTTTATCTACTGCTGCACTAAAATATTTCCTAATACACATTTCCAATGTCCAATTTGTCTTCCTCTCAACCATTTCAAGCAGCAGTGTAGAACAGATATTCACATTATATATTTAAAAAGTAAGTATTTTATTAAACTTAGCAACCCTTCTTAATTTGATAATTTTTGGTATACAAGTACCACACAAAGGTTTGCTGGTCACGCTGTCTCTTCAGAATGTTTCTTCAGACTTCAGGCTTGCTAATAACGGAAAATTCAATTCCATGTTTGTTCAGTCGGTCAATAAGTTTTGTTTTAGCGAATGCAGCCCCAGGAGTATAGACCCCTCCTCTGTAAAACAGTCACACATTTGTAATTTGTAACAGATAAGTGCAAGCAAGCCTGCATGCTTCCCAACAACCAATATTTATAAAGACAAAGGAAGGAAGTCTTTTCCCCAATCATAGCTAAAGACAGCCAGGGCTTAATACTCTAAACTGTCTTCAATAACAAATGTACTATTCAAGTGAATCTAAAGATTTTGTGAGAAGCTTATTTATGTAACTGAGGGCTCGATCAAACAGGCATTTGTCCTGTTTGGCCCACTGTGGGGGCAGTTTGGTTTTGCTTTTTCACAGTAATCACACAACATTATTGCAGGAATGAACCAAACTGTCCCTAAAAAAGCCCTATCTGCACCCTTTTGTGCCGCCGTCAGGGGCTTCTACTTTTTTTGGTGCTGGTCGGATTGCTCTGGTTTGGTCCATATCCAGAATGTGTGATTGCCAGGAATGGACCAAAAGTGAGCCTTCCTGGCTGTCAAATGTTCCTTCTGGTTTTATTTTTCAGTTATCATTAAATGGCTTAATAAGCGAGCCACTTCAGGATATCAGCAAGTTGAACACTTCCTCTGCTCCATTTCTCTTAAATGACTTGTCAAGAAACTGCCTGAGGCCAAATCCAGGCATTCAGTTGCAGGCAGTTTCTCAGCTGCCCTTGAAAGTAAGTTTTCTTTTTTTAAGTAATGCAGCACACCTCAGTGATAGTCTACCGGAGTCATTTTAGAAATGTCACTTCCCCTGCCCTTCCACTGAGGAGCAGAGGAAGTGTTCAATTTGCTGATAGCTTGATGTGGCTCACTTAAGCTATGTCACAATACCAGAAGGAGGTGGACCAAATATGGTTGCTTGAGCTCCAATGTGCTATTTGGATGTGAGAATCATACCAAACAGCATATTACACCTTTCCCTGATCCCAAGTAATCCTATTTAGAATGCCCCAGTTGACTCAAAAAAGTCAGTGTAGATGTACTCTAAACTGACCTACAGTGCTATTCTGCAGATGTCCATGAAGAAATAAGCTCCGCCAATTTCAGTGAGATGTAGTATATATATACTATATAAGTGCATCTGGCTGGATAGCTCAGTGGGACAAAGCACCCGACTGCAGAGCTGAAGTTTGGGAGTTTTATTCCCCACTTTGCCTTACAGGAGAAAAGCCTAGAGAAAAGTGTAGTCTTCAGCAAGTTGAACAGTCGAAGAGTGCCCCCAGAAAAAAATATATGGTAGACAACTTTTGAGTACTTTACGTTTACCTGATGCTTATGTTTTGCAGTCTGGACCAAAATCACTCAATACAATGGCTATTACTGACATTGCTATCAATTATTTACTGTATTTAGCCAAATAGGGGGGAAAGGTTAAAATAACTGTAGCTCTTCTTTGTCTAATGCACTCAAGTCATCGTGTGAAATAGCAGTCCTGATCTGTAGGTGAAGAAGCAATAAGACAGCTGCAGGATAGGCATTTCACACCAAGGAAATATAAGACTCACTTTTTTGGAAGAGAACTCTTGTCCATCAGAAGTGCCACAGCTGCCTGAACCATTGCTATAGGTGTAGCAACATAACCAGCCTCTACAAAGAGAGATAAAAGATAATGGTGAAGATTACTTTGGATGAATGGTAAAACCAGAAACTATATAAGGCATCTTTTTAGATTGCTAATTTACAATCACTAACATATCTTGCCCTTGTCATATGAGGAGCTTACTCTGTGACTAGACAGCTCCATCTTGCGCCGTGTGCAAGTGACATTTCTATTCCTATAGCCAACTTTCCGCATTCCAACTGTTCCATGTGATCTTTAGCCATTAATGTCCAATTCTGGCTTCTCTGCAGCCCGATGACTTTCAGTCAAACAATATATTATGCTCCTCTGTATTTATTTATTTATTTATTTGATTTGTACCCCGTCTGATTTTATCTCATGCTGTATTTTTAAGTAAAGTACTAGAAGCAATTTAACTTTTATAAATAACAAGAGAGACAGAAAGGAAAAAGAATGAGGTGGGAAGAGAAGCACCATGAAACCAAATTTCAAACTGATCCCATATGACTAAATTGATTAATAATATGGGAAATGCTCTGGAAATGGAATGGTCTCACATGAATTATTTTCCACTGATTGCAAGACATAAAAGTCGGTGAATAAGCTCAGAGCTTGCACTCCCAATCTGCAGTTTTTCCCTCCACCTCTGGGGCTTCTACCTTTTTGGAATTGAATGCCTCTGCATCAGTTCAGAGGGTGAGATAGCTTGAGTCAATATGGAAGATTTTGTAGCCATTGTATTTAAGGGCAAGAAGAAACTGGCTGCTGTTTAAAACATCCCCTTCCAACACCTGGTGCCTAGGTCTGCTGAAATCTTCCCTTCCTGTTCTTTCTTCCCTTCTTTCTTTCTAAGCCTTGCTGATCAAATGGGGGAAAGGGGAAGAAGGTTTTAAGGCAGCTCTGCTACAACTGTATTTCCTACAAATCTAGATAGCTAGGAGTGAAAACACCTTCCTGTCTTTCTACATTTCCTTGCCTTTTTAAATTCTCTGGCCACACAGCTAGTCTAGAACTAGGACAGCAAACCTTTAAAGAAAAAAGGAAGGGAAGGGAAAAGGAAAACAAGCCCACCCACGCACCAGGTGTGAGGAGAGAATTCAAATAGTTAACAAGCTCCAAACAAAGCTGATCTCCTCCCCTCTCTCTGCTGATTCCTGTGTGATCGTCTGAAGTGGATTAACCCAGGGAAACCTGACTTCTCAGGTGTGACTTCACAGCAGATCTATTCACATTTTTCCTAATGTGCAGTTACACTCTTACACAGTGTTTTTATACTGATTATGTGATATGGTCACTGGAGGATTTTCAGAGGACAGAAGACGAGCAGCAACTGATTCCATCCAAGCTAATGGGGAAAAAAGCTTGCAGTAATGCCTCGCCATAAGATGCAATGAAACAGAGTAGGAACACACTGTATCTATCTGTAGCATAACCAGCACAAGTCTCTTTCAATTTAGATTCTTCCCCAACAGCAGTGGTCCCCAACCTTTTCTGTTGGGGGGGCACCTCCCTGCACTCATGGGGCACGTGCTCATGTATGTGTGGGCAGGGGCTGCACTTGCGTGGGGGCGTGAGGGGGGAAGTGCGTGCAGGGGGGCAGGAGATCTGTCTCCACGGCCTGGTCCTGCCGAGGCCA